TCTTTGGGCATCAGCAAGGCTCTGAGAAGAAGTGGAGACGGGTGAGGTGAGCTGGGGATCGGCTCCATCGCCTGATCTCCTGCAGGCCCCTCCTCCTCCTCTGTCAGGAGTTGTGAGGTGAATCAGGGGATGGGAGTGCGCAGGTGGTGGGGCAAGCAGGTGAGGCTGTACGTGCCCATGAGAATAAGGGTGAAGGTGAAACGAAGAGTGGACACTGGCGTGACTTTGTGAAGCAGCACTGGCGTGGATAGAGGAAGAGGAGCATGATATCAAGTCATCTTCCTCCAGGCCATCGAGAGTGTCACTGGAGACGCTGGTGAGGACACGAGAGTCCGTATGACATGAATCTGATACAGACGGCTCCTCCTCTGCTGCTCGCACATCCTCTTCACATCCCATCTCCCCTTCCTGTCTAGCATGTCTCCCCGAATCATTGTCCGTTACGTGGATCTCTATTTGTCCACAATCCTGCACGCTCTTCACCTCCTTCCTGTGCTCGGAGCTTTCATTCTCGTCATTCTTATCGAGCTGAAACTTTTCTGTTTTAGTGTCAGAACCCTTTTCATCTTTTAGTCTTTTATCCTCGCCAGGTTTCTCTCCCCTTTCACTCTCATCCTTGTTGTTTCTCCGACTGTCTTTTCTGTTCCGTCCATCTGGATCTGATGAAGATCTGATTCGAAGGCGGGGCTTCTTGTCAGACACCAGGTTGACCAGCGGTTCCATGTCTAAGTCTGAGGATTCATCGGAGTCACTGCCACACCGTGAAACATAACCTGTGAACACGAATCCAAATTGAAACGAGATAACATTTATTGATTGTTACAGGTGTGATGGATGCATTGTTGTCTTTGTACCTTCCTCAGCAGAGATTCTGTGCTTCTTGGAGTCATCTATCCAGGGAAAGACGTTGAGGTCAGGGTCAACAAACACTCGGCAGTACCCTGCTATTAAGCAGGACATATCCTTAGCCGCAGCTGACTCCAGTAGTAAAGTAATGGGCTTTATGAAAGAGAATGGAGAAAGAGAGGTTGAGGGGAAAAACAATTCAGCAGTGTAAAGGCACTTAGCATAAAGTTCAACCACTGTTTCTGCTGAGGTTTGCATATTGTATGCAAGGAGGTGCAGAGAATAATATAAAGAGGTTATGAAAAACAGAAATTGTTCATCTTAATTCATTAAAACACTGCAGTAAAGGTGGGTCGCGTTAAGATGAATGCAAATTAATATTGTGCTAAAGCAGTTAAGGAGGTCTGGAAGTCAGCAGCTTATTAAGAGAGCTTTTAAAGCTAATTAACAATCATCCAAACAGAACAAAACTCTGTTTCCAAACTGCAAAACTGATAAGGATCAATT